GTTTTTATGCTTTTTTTTTTTTGTAATTGGTTAAGCTATACAAAAAGACAGATTATAGGGGCTGAGGTTGTGGCTCAGTGGTAGAGCACTTGCCTAGAATATGTGAGCACTGGGTTTGAACCTCAGCACCACATAAAAACAAACAAATAAATAAAATATAGGTTAACAAAGAAAAGAATGTTTTTCCTTAAAAAAAAGAAGACAGATTATGTTTTATAAGCCATATATTAGAATGTGCACTTACATAGGATTTTAAATTTCTTTCTAGGTAAGAGTGGGGGTGTATATGATGCAATTTGAATGTTAATAAACTAGTAACATTTCAGAGATTTACAGGAGGACAGGGATTGCCCTGGAGATTTCAGTACACATCATCACCATAGGTATGCATCATAAGTAATACTTTACTAGCCATTAATAGAATTGCTGAGTATAACACAGCTTACCAGGCTATGATTATGGCGTACTGAATGCTGAAATATAATGAGAAGGTACCTGGGAAGGCGTCGTGACCCTACATTAGCAAACTTTTGCTTCTAAAATAGTGCCAGTTGGCAAGAAAGAGGAGCACAATTTCATTATAAACTACTGGAGGGAAACCTGTGATTTCTGAGTAATGACCATGAGGTGAACTTAGAAGCTGCCAAGTGGCTCGCATACATGAATGTTAACTCTGCCTGTCTGGACCATCAAAAGCCAAGCTCTTCTAGTGCTCCAGTGTTGATTCTTGTGTGATCTTCTAGCACAACACTTGGTGCAGTACTTTTGGATAGTGTTTGCCAAAACGTCACACTTCAATTGTTTTTCATGGTGTAAACAAACATTAAAAATACTTATTCAAAATTATGGTGGGACATTTCTTTGGATTGAACTTCTAACTGAACAAAAATCAAAATGGAGTTACTCCTGCTAAATGACACCTAATCAAACTAAACTTTGAGGAAATAGATATAAAGGAGACTAGTCTCCCTGCCCAGCCAACTCAGCGATTCCAGACTGAGTCATCATAATAATGAAATACCCTCTGCTTTTAACCCTGAGCTCCAAGCTCCAAAAAGTAGCCTCAGGTATACTGATATTAACAAGTTTTTTCCTCGCCTATTGTTCTTTTTCCTTGTTTCTATCTTTTTAACCCCACTATTATTTCCCAGTGGGACTGGAGACCAAATAAGTCCATTTATGATGGTGACAGAGTGAGGTCAAGGCACAACATTCTGGTCAGTGGGCAATTTTGAGAGGTTGATCAAAAGGGAATAGGTTGACTAAATGGGAAGAATTATTAAGTTTAGCCTAAAGCTACTTCCCTCCACTGTAACCTATCATGATGTGTAAGCAGGCGGTAACCCATTTTTATAAAAAAATTACCAAGTCCCTGCCAATCACAAGCAACCAACTGCTCAAACATCACATAGGATAGAAGTGAGCTGGAACCAACTATGCTGTCTCTACCTCACTTCTCCTTTCTGTATGTCATTTTCTTTTCTCAATTTGTACAATCTGCACATTTTTGGGGTGAAACTTTTTGAGCCATTTTGGGTCTAGACTGCTGCTCAGTTCTAGTATCACAAATAACACCAATTAAGACCTGAAAAACTAATTCTTTTGGTAATGTTATTTTTACAATGTGAGAAATGAAATCACTTTTCACTTTCAAAATGAGCAACTTTCTGAACCTTCCAGACACATCAAGGGGGAAAGTCTCAGATAAGAAAGCTGAGAGTTTGTTTGCTGGGCGCAATGGTACATGCTTGTAATTCCAGTGGCTTGGGAGGCTGAGGCAGGAGGATTGTGAGTTCATAGCCAGCCAGCCAGGAGCTAAGCAACTCAGTGAGAACCCTGACTCTAAATAAAATAGGGCTGGGGATGTGGCCCAGTGGTCACGTACCTCGGAGTTCAATTCCCAGTACCAAAAAAAAAAAAAAAAAGCTAAGAGTCTTTTTTTTTTTTTAATTGTTCTTTTTAGATACATGATAGTAGAGTATATTCTGACATATTATAAATACATAAAGTATAATTTATTTTAATTAGGATTTCATTCTTGTGGTTATACATGCTGTGGAGTTTCACTGGTGGTATACTCTTATATGAACATAAGAAAGTTATGTCTGATTCATTTCACTGTCTAATGAAATGAGGAAGGTTCCCTTCCCTTCATTCCCCTTTGTCTAATCCCTGAACTTCTATTCTCCCCCGCACTCTCATTGTTTGTTAGCATACACATATCAGAGAAAACATTTGGCCTTTGTTTTGGGGGGATTGGCTTAGTTCATTTAACATGATAGTCTCTAGAGCCATCTATTTATCAGCAAAAGTCATAAAGTCATTCTTTTTTTATAGCTGAGTAATATTCCATTGTGTATATATAACACATTTTCTTTATCCATTCATCTGTTGAAGGGCACCCAGGTTGGCTCCATAGCTTAGCTATTGTGAATTGAACTGCTATAAACATTGATGTGGCTGCGTCACTACAGTATGCTGATTTTAACTCCTTTGGATATATATACCGAGGAGTGGTATTACTGTATTAAATGGTGATTCTATTCATAGTTTTGTTGAGGAATCTCCAAACTGCTTTCTAAAGTGGTTGCACCAATTTGTAGTCCCACCTACAATGTATGAGTGTACGCTTTCCCCCATATCCTCACCATCATTTGTTATTACTTGTATTCTTGATAATTGCCATTCTGACTGGAATGAGATGAAATCTCAGTGTACTTTTCATTTGTATTTCTATAGTTGCTAGACATGTTGAACATTTTTTCATATATTTGTTGACCATTTATATTTCTTCTATGAAGTATATTTCTTCTATGAAGTTCAGTTCCTTTGCCCATTTATTGATTGGCTCAAAAAGTAAGATCAAGAATCAATATATGAGACACTATCAAATTAAAAAGCTTCCTCACATCAAAAGAAACAATCAAGAATGTAAAAAAAAGAGCCTAGATAATGGGAGAAAATCTTTGCCACTTGCACCTCAGAGCATTAATCTCCAGGATATATAAAGAACTTTAAAAAAAACTTAACACCAAAATACCAAATAACCCAGTCAATAAATAGGCAAAGAGTTAGTCTTTAACAATTTTCTATCTTTATAAGAGATGCCACAGTCCCTAGGTTTGGTGTGCTGTAGACCACAGCATCCATTTCTAATTTTATTTATTTCTAGGAGTACCATCTGTTTGTGGCATTACATACTGATTTTTCTATTTATGGTATTGCAATTAGATTGTATTTTAAAATACATTCAGTTAAGTGAAAAAGTTGACTTAAAGGAAATATTCAGTAGATGATAGTGCAGGTGGGAAACAAAGTTGGGTAGCTTTCAGCACAAAAGGACTGAAGTTTGGGGAACACTGTTTTAAGGTACTCTTGAGTAATATATAGGATACAATAGTTTCTAGAACAGTTGCCCTGGGTTCCATGTATTAATGTGTGTGTTCAGGCTTGGAGTCCAGATCTAAACCAGAACATGAAAATGAGTACTAATTTTCCAAGGTTGTAATGAGGACCAAATAAAAGCCTATGAAGAACACTTACCACAGAGACCTCACCCATCACCACCAAGTAGATTTCAAGATGCCATAAGACATAGCATCATTTCTCCCAAATTTCCTTTATAAAATACAAGAATCCCAGGGTAACTGTTCTAGAAAATACAATATTTTATGAAAAAAAATGGATAAAATAGTGACCCATTTTATTATATTTTGAATACAACATCGTAGTTGAGATTCAAGCTCACTGGCTCTCCTGCACCCACTATAGTACACTTTAAGTAAAGAATGTGCAGTGGAGGTGGCTGTGTGGAGAAGCACAAATTTTGAAGTAAGCCTTACCTCAGTTTGAGTCTCAGGTATTTACTCCATGCAAAGTTAGTTTGTTACTTATTATGCCATTTCCTATGTGAAACTTTTCTGGGCCATGATTTTCTTTTCATGTGTGAAATGCAGTCATAAGTAGTTTACAGAACCAAGTAGAATAGAATATGGAAGGCATTTAGCACAGTGTCTGGTAAGTAAATAGTGTCCCCATTTTTTTTTAAACCCGGACTCTTTCCATATTGAGACTAAATATAATTATTAGATATGCAGGCGAAATGGAAAAGTGACTTTATGTGTCCCTGAACAAATATTTGATTCCTTCAAAGCCCTCACCCCACCACAAGAGACTAACTAGGGAGGCCAGAGAGAGTTATCACTGAGCCACATAAATTCACAAGTTAATAAGTAAAATGCACTTCTTCCTCTCCTTTCCTCTCCTTGTTTCTGCAGTCAAATAGTTCTTTATAAATCTGAAGCAAGAACTCACAGTGATGAAAACCTGGTCCCTTTCATATGTATATTAAATACATATAAATAAATTTATTTTTAATATAAATCATGCATCACTTACTGATAGGATAAGTTCTATGAGACACATTGTTAGATAGTTTCATGGTTGTGTGAACACCATAGAGTGTATTTACATAAAGTGAGAGGGTCACGATGTCACTAGGTGATAAAGTCTTAAGGGACCACCATTGCATATGTGGTCTGTAGTTAACTGAAACTTTGTTAGGCAGTACATGACTGTAATTTACATGGAGTACATTGTCAATAAGAGCACAGGCTTTTTCCCTATTGGTAATTGATAGCTATTAAAACAAGGTTGAAGAATGCCATTCAGACTTTTATCACTTGAAAAAAGAATTCAAGATTATTATCCCCTCACATTTCTGTTGTAAAAATGGCTTTTACTTCCCTTTCTTCTTTTACCAAAATCTTTTGAGAACCTGTCACAGTTCCTTAGATCATATAAACTTATGTACCTCCTTCTTACAATGGATAATAAAAAAATGAAAGATTTTCTTTTATAAGGTCCAATGTAATTCTTTTTGTAAAAGTCATGTACAGGAAAATATTGATTCTGTTATTAGAAAGCATCATTTCACCAGAAGGCACCAATATTTTCTTCCTTCCTTCCTTCCTTCCTTCCTTTTTTCTTTTTTTTTTCAGAATTAAAGAGTATGAAGATGCTGTCAGTTTCTTCACCTGGGCTCTTAAACTTAACCCACATTTTCTGGATGCTCTTGTTGGTCGGGGGAATTCCTACATGGAATATGGACATGATGAAGCTACCAAGCAAGCACAGAAGGATTTTCTGAAAGCATTGCATTTTAATCCATCATGTATAAAAGCCAGAATCAGTCTATGCTATAACTTGCAGGTAATATTATATAATAACAACTTAACCACTGACAAATTGTTTGGACAGGATAAAGAATATATTTGGCTCATTACTTGTGATGGGGATAAAGGCAATTTCTTTGGTTATGAACATTGACCTTTCCCTTACTTTAATATGCAGAACAGCCGTAGGGTGCAGGGGTTTGTTTAGGGTACAGGGGGCCTGCCTGGAAGAGCCTTGGAACCTGAAATGCTAGTCAGAAGAGGATCCTTGGAACTTGAGTTTCTTTAATGTTTGAACCCCTCCCTACTCTTATAAATAGCTTTTAAAACTTACCAGATGAATTTCACATATGAAATTCATCTCTAGTTTATATCTTGGCTCCATAGGTTTTGTCCTATTGAATTATTGAAAAAATAAATAAGTAAAGGAGATAAACAATGTATGAAAGTTTTGAAGAGGATTCCAGCTGTGCAAGGGGTCAGATGATTTATAGGGACTTCTGGAGTCAGTCGTCTTCCAAATGGCAGTGGACTAGGCCTTGCTGGGAAGATCTGGACAGGCACTTGTCCCTCCAGCAGGGAGGAAGGGTGCTACACTGTGGGGAGCCATGCAGGTCTCCACACATAGTTTCTATGACACTCTGGCCTGTCCTGTGCACTGAAATTTCACAACTCACTCAGTGATTTTCAATAATAAGAGATGCAGGGACATTTTTGGAATAGAGTAAAAAATGTGCTATATTTTCCGTGAGAAGGAACTGAGCAATTGTACGTCTTCTTTTTATCTCCTTTAATATTCAAAAGATTTTAAGTAATGGAAAAAGACTGTGTTCAAATTATTATAATCTGTAGATATCTCTGTTAATAATATGCCCCTAAAGTTTGCTGCTTTTTCATTCATAAACACACAATTTTGACTGATCTAAGGCTGATAACTTTGGAGGTGTTTGGGATTGTTGGCTATAGTGAGGTATTCTCCAGAACTTATTAATAGGGAATTAAGATTGCCTTCTGAGAGTTAAACATAAAATTAGCCATTACTGGATCACATTAGAATTTGTAAAGCGATGAGGTGACTGCAAAGCAGCTAGAGCTGAAGATATCCAGCGGCATGTGTCAGCATCATGGTTCACTGCATTTAGCAGGTGTTTACTGCATACCTGATACAGGCAGGAACTGCATTAGCCTAGGGATACAGCAGCGAGAAAGATATGCTGGTTTCTTCTGAGAGAGTTTACTTCCTATTGGAGAGACAGGCACTAATAATCAATTGTATGAATAATGATTTGATTATAATCATGATAAGTGCTACAAAGACAAGCAACGGTCTTTAGTCCAGGGGAACCTAGGTTTGTTTGAGGAGTGTGGAGGCTTTCTGAAGAATTAGCATTTGTGTGCTGAGATGTGAAAGATTAGTAACTATTCAGAAGTAGGGGTTGGGCTAGGGTGTAGTGTTCCAGACTGAGGGAGCAGCCCATTGGAAAGCTTTGAAAGAAAGAGATGGAGGGTTCAAGGGGTAAGATGTTATGGGCAAAGGGAGAGTGGTTTGAGATGAGGCTAGAAAATTAAATAAGGGCTGGTGGTGAAGATCTTGATGTCCAGTTAAAAATGTGACCAGCACTAATTAGAGAAGTGACATTGAAGATTTGCATTTTATGAAGACCTCACTGCAAAAGGATTGAAAAGCACATCTGTATAAAGGATTGAGTCAAGAAATGAAAGACTGATTAGAGAGAGTTTTAGGGCCACATGAGTACTGTCCAGGGGAAAGAGTAACAATTTATTCAACAGATACTTACATATTCCTTTAGTGTTTGCCTACCAGGGGGGATATATAAGGGAGCACAACAGTTGCTGTGAGGAACAGATGACAGATAAGAGTCTGCAGTTTAATATTCCAATAATCTATTCTCAATTTGCCCACTTCCTTGTTTAGTAAATGAACTTTTGATGACAATATGGATTTCCAAGTGGTTTATGCAGAGAGAAAAGATTTGCCTATCAAAAAGCAAGGTTGGGCTGGGGATGTGGCTCAAGTGGTAGCGCGCTTGCTTGGCATGCATGGGGCGCTGGGTTAGATCCTCAGCACCACATAAAAAAAAGTAAAATAAAATAAAATAAAGATGTTGTATCCACGAAAAACTAAAAAAAATAAATATTAAAAAAATTCTCTCTCTCTCTCTCTCAAAAAAAAAAAAAAAAAATCAAGGTCTATTTCCTTTAGTAGGGGCATTTCTTCTTAGCTTTCTGTGATAATTGCTTGGCTCAGCTTGGTGTTAGTCTCTGAGATTCAGACAGGTTAGCTTTTTGAGCCCATGAAAAAAATGACAGAGCTGGACTATGCCAAATTCATTAACTCACTTAATGAGGTGTTTGGAAACTGGTCTTCTCTAGGACATACTTTGACATCCTATTTAAGGTGCCTCTCCTGACCATTTTCCTGTTTTTTCCACTTGGTGCTAAGTTTGGTATACACCACACAAGCTTAGTAAAGTTATGAACATTTTTCTTGGAATATGTATAATGGTCCTAAAATTCCAGATGCTGTTCAATTTATCAAAATATGTTTTATCTATTTATGAAACACATATTGATTTTACTTTATATATCATGCTTATGTTATATAACTGGAATTCAGTGCTAAGCAAATAAACATAATCCCTGCCTATGTGTTTGGAACTCAATGTAAACTGTTCAGCAATTGTTAGACTCATTGGTGTTTCACATGGTGGCCATGGTTTAATGTTGCCTCAAATTGGTATAAGAGGTGACTCTCTAATTGAACTTATTTTATTTAATTAAAATTTCACCATAAATACTCAGAGGTAATTAGTCAATGGAATGCACTCACAGTATAGTCTACCTTCTTGTTTAACATATCTTAGATTTGGTACCATATGCCCTTTAGTAGTATCACATGCCATAGATTTTGGGTGAGGTAGAATCATAAGCATTTGTCATGTTATAGACTATTTCTTATTTCATGAAATCAAAAAATTATTTTAGGCCCAAGGAAAATTCCAGAAAGCTTGGAATCATTTTACTATTGCCATAGAAGTTGATCCAAAGAGCTACCTGGCCTATGAAGGAAGAGCTGTGGTTTGTCTTCAGATGGGTAATAATTTTGCTGCCATGCAGGATATTAATGTTGCCATAAAGGTAAAAATCTACTTAGATTATGTTATTATTAGCATAAATTAACACCATTAATGAAACGGTCCAAGAAAGAACTTCTCTGTTACCTTTTTAAAGTGACTTGTGGAAAAAATATTATTTTTGGAGGAAACAATTTTTTTTTCTTGAGTAGTTCGCAGGGTTGAGAGTTATTATGACTTGAGATTTTGTAATCTAAATGCATTTAAAATGAAAAAATAAACTAATTCCTGACAAACATTGATTCTTCTTAGTAAATGCAACTTGTAAGTTTCATAGGACATGAACATTATCTTGTAATACAAAATGAATGTAAAACATAAAACAATGTTCTAGGTCTGAAGGAACTAAAGAACTAAAGAAAGAGTAAGGTAAATCCCCAGATTTTTCCTGTAGAGAAATTTCAAATAAAAATCTCCTATTTTGAATGTAGTGACAGAAATTCTTCTTTTCTTCTAGCTTTTGAATTTGGTTTCTGTAGATTTGGGTGAATGTCCTAAGGTTTGAGATGAGAAAAAGGAAAGAATTTATAGATAAGTACTACTGCAGAGGACAAATAAGTGTGTTAACTATTCAATTTAATTTCTCTCTAGTTCAACATAGGTAAACAGATAAGTTTTCCCTCTGCAGCTATTCCTTGGCAAGAAACTTAGTAAAGCACCAAGATTATTTGCTTTATTGCAACCAAATCAACAAAGTGTTGACACCGAACCAATTTCATACCAAGTCCTTTCTCAAAATATTTGCTCTAATGGGGTTTTACCTACACTATAAAATTACTTGTTTCCCACAAGTAGATTTCATAATGTTCATTTCTGCGACATGAAATAAGAAATAAATACTATTCCCAGATGCTAAAGACTCTCACTATCATGTTGCAGATCAATACCACAGCAGAGTTCATAACAAATCGTGGTGTGATTCATGAGTTTATGGGCCAAAAACAGAATGCAATAAAAGACTACCAAGCAGCAATTGCTTTAGACCCCAAGTACTCACTGGCTTACTTTAATGCCGGAAATATCTACTTTCACCACAGGCAGTTTTCTCAGGTAATGTGAGTTTTCCTGAATATTTTCTTTTGGACAATAAATACTTTCTTTGTTATATATAGTTTGACATTGCAATCTTTACATCTCAAACTAATAAATGATTAGCTTTTCTTTAAAAACATAGCGTTCTCTTTCATAACAATGTTTATAATTATCCATTATATGTTTACACCTATATGGATTCATTCTCCTTAGTTTCATCAAATATTCGATGCTTGTCCAGAAACATTTTTTTTTTTCCCTGAGTGTCAGACTTCCTTTGTTATGTTCACTGTCACCAGCTTTCAGCCTGGAACCTTCTATTCTCCTCTATTTCCACCTCCACTTGGATGTCCTTCAAGACCCTCTTGATGGAGCTGCTAACTCAGCTTAGCTTATACCTTAAATTTTATCAGTGAGCATATGATTGGGAGGAAGGAGGCTTGGATTGTAGTTCTGGTTTTGTGTGACCCCTTAATCTCTTTTGGCCTCATTTCCTAATGCTTAAAATGAAGGGATTAGGATATTAGATGATGTTTTCTTAAAACTTATTTATTTGAATTATAATGCATTTACATGATTCAAACTCTTGCCTTTCTGATTGTTTATTTTTTTATCTATAATTACTCTTTTATCTAATAAACTGAAGACAAACAGAACAAAAGAGTAAGTTAACTTATTGTCACCCTTTATTTATATTGTGAAAATTTATTTAAATTATGTCTTTTTTTCCCCTGAGTATTGTTTTGGCAGTATCTCACATATTTTGGTCTATAATTATTTTTAACTTGAGTAAAATACACACCACATAAAGTTAACTTTCTTAACTATTTTAAGTTTATAGCTCAGAAGTATTAAATATATCCTGTAATGCTTTTATTAATTAATGTTTTCCTAAAAATTTGCACCTGCAACTTTTACTTCCTCTTTGACTAAAGAGTAAATTAACTGGACATTTATTCACATAGAAGAGTTTTAATAGTCTCTATATGTCTTTATGTGTATTTTAAAGGTGTCTTAATCTATAATCTATAATCTATTTTCCATGTTTTTTTTTTAGTTTTCAGAGTTTTTCTAAAAACAAGAGGGCTTATAGATTTCCTCTAGTGATTGCCTTTATAAAAATAACTTTAATACCCTCATTTCTTTACTTATTTAATTCCTTTACTTGGAACAACAACAAAAACATTACCTTGTAACCTCCTCGTCCTCATTAACATAAGAGCATAAATCAATAACCCTAATCTTAAAAAAAAAAAAAAGAAAGAAAGAAAGGAAATGAACACAGGCCCTCACAGCCCGCTCAGGCAAGCTCCTCCATTCCTTCACGGCCATTCTTAGTTGAAGTCTTTGGTATGCCATCTGTCTGTCGGTTTCTAATTCACCTCACAGGCTCTCGGCAATCCTCTCCACCTGAGCCTCTGCCCCCACTGCTCCTCTGACAGTGTTCTTGCCTCCCCTGTCAGGGACCTCCTCCATCCTCCTCTTACCTGACTTCTCAGCAGCATTTGACCCAGGACACTTTTCCCTTCCTAAAGCTCTTTTGTCTCGGGGTGACACCATTCTATCCTGTCTTTCTCCCTACCATTTTGGCTGGCTGCTTCCCTCCTCAGTCTGCTTTTCTGGCCCCTCTTTGCTTCTTTTCTGAGTTGGTGATACACCAGGGCTTGCTCCTGCCTCACTTCTCTCTACACTTGTTTTTGCAGATCCATCTCTAATATCCTCACTATAATAAGATCCTAAGATCTTTAGGGGTAGGAACCATACTCAGAGAGTCCATTTCTTCCCATGATTTATGCCTCCACCTTTTTTCTCATATTTATCTCCTGTTGTTAAAAGTGGATATTTTATAAGTGCCTTAGAGCCCCAAATGATTTGATTTCTATGCCCCCTATCTCCAGTCCAGCTTTCTTTGAATAAATCCTCTCTCAATTCAAGATGTCATCTGAGTCCAACAAAGTCAACTATCACTGTCTCTTTCTCATCTCATTTCCTTTATCTAGCCAGCCATCTAATCTTTTCCATTTAACTTCTTAATTTCTTTTCTTTCCTCCTAAATATGTCCCTTTTGTTCCATTTCTACTGCCATTGCTCTTACTTTTTCTCAAGTTAGAGGTCATGGCCTTGACAGCTGTTACCCCTGTGATTGGCCAGTGGACCTCAGTGGGGAAGCTAGATGCTGAGGCAGAGTTATGGAAGGTAGAATTCTGTAAGGTGTGGATGAGGTTGTCCTCACTCAGATTTCAGTCAAGCTGGGAGACTAGTGTTTCCCAGGCAGAAATGCCAAGGTCAATTGCCTTAAATGTTGCTAATCTCATCACCCTCCCGCTGAGTTCTAAAAATGTTCTTTAGCATTGTAAAGTTAGTAAATGAGATGAAGACAAACAAAATGCCCAGGGTGATTTCTGGTTTCTGTATATGCTTCCATCTGCATGAAAGGATGATCATTACCTTTCAAATTTATTTCTTTGATAACTCTATGGACCATTCCATACAAAATTATTTGTTTAGATCCAAAGTGTAGCTTGAACTTTAAAATCTTTAAAAAGTATAACTCTATTTCCCCCACATTGCAGACACATTAACTGGGCAATATTTCATCTAAAATATTTTCCATCTTCAGTCTTGATGCATTGGATGTGTGAGTTTAAGAGTGCACACACATCTAGGGTCAAGCAGGCTTTGAGGATAGCTATTCAGCCATGCCCCCATGCTCTGGCCTCTTTGTGGAGAAGAGGGCCTCTACGCCCTTTCCCTTCCAACCACTCACCCTTGTTTCTGACTGTATTGGAAGGTTTAGGCTCAAAAGAAAGTGTCCCTCAAAAGATCACATGGTGAGGGCGGTGGCACTGGGGTTGTCGTTCAGTGGTAGAGCGCTTGCCTTGCACACATGAGGCACTGGGTTCAATCCTCAGCACCACATAAACATAAATAAATAAAATAAAGATATTATGTCCACCTACAAATAAAAATATATTTAAAAAGATCATATAGGGCTGGGGTTGTAGTTCAGTGGTAGACCACTTGCCTAGCATGTGTGAGGCACTGGGTTCGACCTCAGCACCACATAAAAATAAAGGTCCATTATGCCCATCTACAACTAAAATAAATATATTTTTTTTAAAAAATCACATAACTTCCAGAGGGTTAACGCATGTATGTGAGCTAACTTCTCTTTTCTTTAACTAGAGTCTTAATGTTTTAAAACCCTATTCAAATGGGCTACTTGCATGAATTATGAACTACAGGTGAATTAAAAAATAATCAGATCTGCTTTCTAATTAATTAATTACATACATATGAGAACGTCAAAATAATTGTTAAAAAATCAAGACCTATAATTGCTTTAGCCTTTAATTGTTTTATACTCCTATACTTCTGATAACCTCATTAAATTTATATGTTTTCGATCTTCTAAGTAATATGTTTTGGAAGCTATAATAAAAAGTTTACATTTTTTGAAGTTAGGTGCACTCTGGTGTTTTACTGATGAGTTCTTTCCTTTTAGCCAAGATAGGCATTTACTTCTATATGATTGAAGTCATGCTCTTGTGATGTATTATTGTGCAGCCTTTATTGATCATTTATTGGTGAATTAAAATGAAGCCTAAGTTACTTTATAAAGAAAGTAAAGCTCGAAGTCATCCCCTACCTCATTTCTGATGACTGTCCAATGCAGCCAGAGCCTTCTCTTCAGGAGTGAATCCTCTTCAATGTCTTCCCAGATGTCCCCATCAAAACAGATCCTTAAATTGCATTTAACTATAGCATACAATAGGTGCCATCCAGAGCATAGAAATGCCTAGGGAGAAAGTAAGAAAGTAACTACAATTGTGATCCAATTGTCTTTCAAAAGTCGGAGGAAACTACTTTCATGGAGAATTTCCTGAAGACTGTTATCTCTTCATTTATAGACATCAGAAGAAAACCGATATATCAGTAATAATTGATTGCATCTTCACTACACTATGGATATTGTTCTCAGTACATTACCTATTAACTCACTTCATCCTTTCAACATCAATGTTGTCAGTGAGTTTTTTAAAAAAAAATTTGTAGTCTTTGTTTTATAGATGAAGAAATTAATGCAAATAGAGCTTTAGTAACTCACCCAAGGTGGAGGCAGAATTTGAACCCAACAATCTGGCTCCCTGGTCTAAGCTGCCACTACCATGTGACCAGTATTTATATCACCCAGGATGGAAGTGAACTGAGGATTGGTCCTGGGAAACAGAGGGAAATAGTTCAGTGAAGGAGATGGGAGAAAATGATCAGAGAGGTGGACCAGGGAGAGCCCATCCTTAGGATAGAGAGGATTTTAAGAAGGAAGGAGATATGAAGACTGTTTATGTCACAGAAATGCCTTGGGAGAAAGTAACTGGAAAGTGTCCTTTAGATTTGAGAACATCTACAGCCTCAGGAGGACTACAACATAGGAAATAGGAGGAGGCCAATAGAAGGTTGGTTGTGGTGGGTTGGGAAAAAATAGAATAAAAAGTAATTGGAGAGAATAAACTAAGTTATGGAAAGTGATTTTCCCTTGAGGGTGAATTTTAAAGTAGGAACCCAATTTTCATCCATCAGTGAGTTAGAAGAAATTCCTAATTTGAGTAGCAGGGTATCTAGGCAGCATCTCAAGCTATGTATGGTTAAAAAAAATATCCCATATTATATATCAATACACTATTAAAACAAAATATAAAGAATTACTAGGAATATGATCATACGCTCAGATTCATAGCCATGTCAAAATGCTATGGAAGCTACTTAGTATTTCAGTTTTGGATCCTACCTCTTTGCAGGCTTGTAGCAACTAGAAGTCATAATGAGGTTAAAATAAAAGTAATGACAGTTTTTTTTTTTTTGGGGGGGGGTGCATAATAGATCTGTAAGTTGGAAGACACAGTTTAGTAAGAAACAAAACAAGTTCCATCCACAGGAAGAACTGGATTTCTAAAGGGAAAGTTAGAGAGAAACTGGATGAGGTGAAGTGATTTGTTTGAACAATTTTGATTGGAGCTGATAGTTACGCAAGTTGTTTTGAACAAATTTAATGGGAGCTGAAGTTCTTTTCATACGTTAAGCTATTCTTGATGGATTGCTAGGGGGCTCTTGGGGGGGTATGATTTGTAAGCAGTAAGTCTTTTAAAGCAGTCAGCAAGTCAACAGACATTCTGTGATTGGGAACTGTTGCAATCTTTGGTCTTGCAAGCTCATTCTTTCCAGACAAAGTTAACTTCCAATAGCTGGAAGTTGAAGATTGAGGAATTTGTATCCATGAGGTAAACCAGAGCCTCTCAAATGGAGTCTCTGAGACTCACACAAGAAGTTTTGCTGTTTCTTGAGCAAACTGCAGCCTTCTTAATTTTTATTGACCTTCCAAGTCAATGATGAATTGTGAATAATCTAGAGTTTCTGATTTTCTCAACAAGATGTTTTTTTCCTTTTCTTCTTTATAATTTTTCATAGTATAACTGAAATTTTAAATCAAAAGTTTAAACCTTCTTTGAAAATTCATTTCTCTGGTCAGCTCTCACTATGCTTTTATATGTAAAATGTTACTGGCTTAATTTGTATTTATTTTATCTTCTTGTTTGGTCTTTTTCAATTTACTTTTTACCATTTGTAGCTGCTGTTGTTTTGTATATGGATATGAGATTTGGGTGCCAGGTAGTGGGGGCATTTCTCCCAGTAAGGAGAAATATTTTATCATTGACATTATTTAGAATTCCCAATATATGGTGTTATGGTTTGGATCTTAAATGTCTCCTACGGCTCAAAGGCTAAAGGCTTTGTCACCATCCTGTGGCACTACTGGGATATGGTGAAATCTTTTGGAGGTGGGGCCTAGTGGAAGGAGGTTAGGTCATTGGGGGTGTGCCTTTAAAGGGGATACTGGAACCCCTATCCCTTCCTCTCTCTGTTTCCCAGCTGCCATGAGGTGAGCAGCCTCCTCAGCCATAGGCTCCCACCATGATGTTGTTATGCCACATGCCATCACAGGTCCAGAGCAACAGGGCCAGCAGGGACTGAAACCTTAGAAACTGTGAACCAAAATAAATCCTTCCTCCCTTTGAGTTGATTATCTTAGGTATTTTGTCATAGAGACAGAAAACCACCTTTTGGTTTTGTTATTTATTTTTATGTTCTCTATAGTCAATGCACCAATATATCTGGGATGAAATACTTCCACTGCCTACTTGGTAGATGACTTGTCTTAATTTTAAATTAAAAATAAAAGTGATTCACATTTTTGGACAGCTACCAATTAAAGTACATTCATTCTACTTGTTTTTACATTTTATAGGCCAATGACTACTTCTCAAAGGCTTTAAAGTTTGATCCAGAAGATGATCATGCTCTCATGAATCGAGCTATCACAAATACAATATTAAATAAATATGAAGAAGCAGAAGAAGATTTTGCTTGTGCTGTTGAACATTGTCCATTTTGGGCTGCAGTATATTTCAACAGAGCACATTTATACTGCTGTTTGGAGAAGTATGAACTAGCTGAGGAAGAACTGAGTAAAGGTATATTTTTTTTTGTAAGATTATAGCTGTTAATGTGTTTGTTTTTAGACTAAAAAAAATCAGGTCTATTTGTCTAGATGAATGTACATAAGAATCAATATGTTTAGATGTCATTTTTAATGTAATCAATATAGATTCCTTTAGGTAATAACTTAAAGTTTTGTTAAAGTCACATATAGAGAGTTATTAGGAAATCCATATATAAACAATGCCAACCTTTTGAAGAAAGTCATTGTACTGTGGTCCCCTAAATTTGCTTTCTTATGAAGATTAAAAATTTTTAAATTTTTTTAGTTGTAGATGGACACAATATCTTTATTTTTATTTATTTATTTATTTTTTATATGGTGCCGAGGATCAAACCCAGGGCCTCATGCATGCAAGGCAAGCTCTCTACCACTGAACTACAATCCCAGCCCAAAGATTGAATATTTTTAATTTAACTGAGTTTCACATTTAAAGAAAAATGTTATCAAATGAATTATATCAAAATTCTCATAAAATTTTAGTTTTAAATATGGAGCTAGTTTGAGTGCACAAATCTTGAATGTATTTTCTTTTGCAGCTCTGTCTTTGAAGCCTAATGACACTCTAGCATATCACCTCAGAGCAAAAGTTCGTGGTAAAATAGGTCTGATTGAGCAAGCTATGGCTGACTACAACCAAGCACTTGATCTTGAAGACGCATGTGCCTTACATACATGATTACATAGACTACTATGGTTTCTACAGTCATTTACATAGCAGTTCTTTCTGAAACTGAAATGTGTTTTTTGTTTAGAAGTTTAAACTGCCTTTGTTATGTATTATTATGCTTACTCTTCTATAAACCTTTAATGCATTTTAGCAAAATGTTCATGCTGTACATTAATTATAAACTTTAAATCATTTTCTGCATACTCAGAATATCTCAAGAATCAAAATTCTTCTTGGAGTGCAGGATTTAAAGGGGATGTTTCTCAAGGAATATTAATGTGCTCAAATATATATTCTTTAAATAAAATAATTTTCTTTGAAATAATACTGTACTTAATAGAACAAAGTCATAGGCCTTTTCATCAATTCCTTCTTATAACATATTCACAGTACCCAGATTTTTAAAAAGAATTAGCTGATGACTATAAAAAAATTGGAAGTCAAGTACATTTTCTCTTGTTCTTTAAACAACATCTATTACTAGTCTGGATTCTTCCTGGTACCCATTTTCTTCCAACAGATAAGCTTGTTTCTCTTTTATATGTTGTTTGCCTTCCAGAATAACACCTATAAAGATTTTGAGCATCCTGTTTTCCTGAGATAATCGCTTCTGCTGCTTTAATTCATGAATGTGTAAATAAATGCAGACATTATATATAAAAATCTTTGTACACTTGTCATTAGTGCTTCATAGGAGTTGATGAGTAAAATATTAAAACAGTTAAAATTATTCTATTAACATGTTAATTGTATAAATTAAAAGGCTTCACTGTGACATTTCCATCCATGCACATGTCAAGCACTGATATAAAAATTCCTTATAGAATGTCTTTGAAGGATCTTTCAATGAATCGGAGGAACCCTCCTTTTACCCCTCTGATAATAACAAGGCTTCCTAAAAATTTGTTCAAATTTTATTTCACTCAGTTTGTTTTCCTTCTTGCTGTTTTATTATTCCAGTATACCTCCAGCTCCGCAGAGGCCCATTTGCCCTGCAATCACACATTTTGGAAAGAACAATTCTGTTCACTCACTTCCCTTTGTTTTTAGTTTGATGTTCCAAATTTTCACAATAGAAAGTTGACTTTAGTTTGTAAGCTACAATGCAGATGCTTCACACAATTACAGGATAATTTTCCTGGCATGGAATGTGGGTACACGTGAGGATGAAATCACCCATCCCTAATGAGTTATTTCAGCTGGTGAATCAAGCACATTTAATAAGTGTTTTTTGGCTCCTCTTGCTCTCACTGATGTCCAGACACTTTTGTCACTGACTTAGCCACAGCTGAGATTCAGACTGACCTCATGCATCAATAGAGAGCCCCTCTCCTATGGTGACTTACATCTCTCCCAACTGTCCTGGCTCCTCCATTCCTGCCGATGTGGGTTGGATGCTGGTGGGATTCTCTTGGTGCCCACCTGTGCACCATAGATATGCAGAAGTCCTTGTCAAATGAACCTTTGATGAACCTTTCATCTCTTGGTGGAATGTCCTGAGACACTGTCTATTTGGCCTCCTTGAGGGTGGTCCTGTGAGGTGAAGCAGTCAGTTGTATTTACTGGCAGCCAGCACCAAAGTGCACCTTATCTTGGTGCTTCTGTCTTCCCTGCCTTGCTACCTATGTCCATCACCCCTGCTTTCCTGGGATTAAATTTCTTGATAAAGTAGCCATGCAGAAGCATTTGCCACAGGTTCTACATTCTGGGGAAGCCCAGGGTAAGCAAATTAGTAATTGAATTTTTTTTTTTTTCTAATTGCACACAAATACTTTTAACAAGAGGCAGGATATGGTAACTGTTGGGGAATGATGCGAACCAAGAATCATGAAATATAATGGGGATAATCATGTCTAACTTGTCAAAATGCTATATGTCTTTTGGCATCCATGGTTTCTGTACATACTGCCAGCACCTATGGTGGTCTACTGGAGGCATTTCTCAGACCACACATAGGTCAAGTCAGAACTTCAGGGGGATTAATGATAGTAATGACAGAGGGGTGATGAAGAAAAGCTTTTCATCTCCCTTGCCTGCTGAGAGGATAACTTCCCAACCTCCCCCCTGGGATTGAGCTCCAGTTGCCTACTGTATAAATTCCTCCAGAACACATCCATTAATGGTTTGCTAGGATCTCCTTAAAGTAAACTACTCACACTCAAATATCATCTCAGGATCTGCTTTTGAACTGAGTCTAACATGTTATCTCAGAGGGAAAGGTGGCTGAACTGGGTCCTGAGCAGGTACTATCTATGGGCAAATGTGTTGAATAGCAAGGTATTCTATACAGACTGATATCAGGATGGAGACACGGAAGTGGAAAATTGGAAGAGCTTGTCTGGATAGTGGCTGGAACCAGAGGGTTTTGTTTTTCTTTCTTTCTTTTTTTCTTTTCTTTCTTTTTTTAAGAGACTGGTGGGAGGTAAATGTCATGTGGTCAGTCATACCTAGAGGATTCTCACTGCTGGATAAAGGAGTTACAGCATGATGCAAAGAAGCAAGACATTAAGTGCATGCATGAAGATAGGCAGACAGAGAGGAGGTTTCTCTTTCCCTTTGTCTCCCTTCATCCTTGCATTGGAATTGGGGATATTTTAGCATCACTGATAAAAGTTGGGGGTAGGAAAATTGATCAGTACTCTTCAGAAAATGATTTGCTTTGTCCTATATGGCCTTCCTGATGAGTGTTTTTCACAAAAAAAGTATTTTTAGTCTCTAACACTCCATTTTTACTGGCAGATGTGTGTATTTATGACTGTATCTATCTGTTTATCTGTCTATCCAACCAACCATCTTAACCTTAAGTAAATGCACAATAAAAAGGTTATCTTGGGCTATTAATTTGAAATAATCGATGTGCAATATCTTATATTTCATCTTTAATAGTAAAGGCCAGAAAGAAATCAACAGCAGAAAGATCAATATGCAGGCAGTCATAAGAAAGGGAAGAAAAAGAAAAGCACAATTTTTTAAAAACAAATGTACCAGACACTCAGTTATGGCTGAGTCCTTAAGGACGTTTTCATTTCTCCCTTACCAATAAGGCTGGTATTATTTTCAATTTACAGAAGAAAAATACTAACTGCAGAAGGTTAAATAACCAGGTAGAGCACCTCTGGCAGCATAATGATGTCACTGAAATTTTGTTCCACTTTTACTTACGTATTTCTTAAGTTGATTTGTTAGTATTAATAGGATTTATTTTAAGAAACGGGATTTGTAAAAATAAATGCATAACTATTAAAAATGTTCCTTGTCCTATATAAAATCATCTCTTTTTATACCAGAATCACTTGCATTACATCTTGGGAAGCATTTTACATCACAGTATCATTGATCAATGGGCTCAGTGGAGAGTAACCAGAGTGAGAGAGGGAAAGCATCTAATGCCTGTTGAGATGGGTGAGGAAAGAGAGGTAAATTCCTATGAAGTAAATGGAGCATGTTGTTGTCATGGCTTTAAACCATTATGCAATTTAACTACTTCATTTTCTGATTCTATTCTATCTAAGACATCTTCTAGTGATAATTTGGGTTTCCATATGGACATGTAGAACAAAATACATAGTATATACTAAGATTCTATCTTTGCTAAATTGCTGAAGCTGGTTTTGAACCTGTAATTCTCCTGTCTCAGCCTCCTTGAGCCACTTGGATTATAAGTGTGCACCACCATGCCTGGCAGGATTCCATCTTATTATAAAATAAACCATACATGTACACATCTACAGAATACTATCCATTTTATTTACATAGAAGACCTTTAATGACTTTCATACAGGAGCCTTTGCCAGGGAGTATCTGTGGAGAATGGCATTATTTATGATTATTTTATTGGTAGAAGTCACATGCTAGGGTTAAGTAACCCTGCTTTACTCTTTTTTTTCTTTTGACACTAATTCTCCAAATTACTTTTTAATAATTAAGCACATCTTGGTTTTATAATAAGAAAAATATGTAATTATCTCCTTTTCCCAAATTCAATAGCTTATTGGAGATAACATTTAAGACTACAACAAAATCCATATTGCGTTTTCCCATGGGTGCCTGAAGTGGACTCTGCTAGTGCTGGCAGGGCAGGGTCCTTCAGAGGTCCCTCTAGTTCACACAGGTTCTGCTCACAAAGTACCTTGGGTTCATGTTTGCACCAAGACCATCTTTTAGGAAAAATTTAGCCTTAGTATGTATTTTGATGGAGCTTAAGAAAACCAATTTAAAATAATCAGTCACATTTCTAAGAAAAAAATAAAATTTGCTCTCTAGACCTATAGGTCAATTGAGGTCTGCAATATTCCCACAACTATAATTTTAACTGATTTTCAAAAGGAAAGGATATTAGTTTGTGGGAGCTCATGTGATATTTTGCTTCCCTTTAGAACTCTTAGTTCTCTGAAAGTATAAAGATCTCCAAAACCTACTATGATAAAAAGAAAAAAAAATTATCACTGAAAACTTGTTGTCGACATATCCATCAATTTTACGACACAAACTTTAATAGAGGAATCTTGGGAGACCAGTGGTTTATACTGATGATAGCTGTAATTTTATAACCATCAGTTAAAAGTGATAAATCACTAAGCAGAAAAAGCATCATTTAAGCTCCAAATATATACTCCTCACTCTTACTTTAACTGCATGATAGGTTAGACAATTCCTTGTATTATTAATATAAATATTATCCATGACATTTTGAAGTACAGTTTCACTTTTATGGTTCTAAGATGGAAGGGAAAGATCGCTAATTGTCTTGCATAAAGCAGTTTTTTTTTTTCTCCTACAGTCTTCCCATAGGAGATATATGTAAGTCTATATATCAACTTATTTTGAAATATATTTAAGGAAAGAAAAAGTGTTTGGAATTTACTTAATATTTTATGGCATTCTGACTGTTACACAGTGGTATTTGATTTTTCTTAAAAGCTTATTATAAATTACAATATTCTGAATTTATTAAACCGCCAGATCATCATTTAAGTACCTTTGCTTTATAATCCAGGAACAAATTTCTC